TGCTGCGCGCTATGCTCTACGCGAGATCGAAATTCCACTCGGCGAGCTGTTCGCGCGCAAGTCCGTGGCATCCTCGGCCTGCTCGACGCCACCACCCGGGCCTGGCCCTGGTCCTTGTTCTGGGCCCGCCTCCGCATCGCCGGCGTCGCCATCGCCTGCCGATGTCGCCTACGAAGAGGGCTTGGCACGCCTCAAGATCCGCGCGCTGGAGAAGCTGGAGGTGGACCGGAGGCTGGAGCGGTTAAGCGAGGAGGTGGAGCAGAAGATCGCGGGCCAGGTGGGTCGGCTACAGGCCGAGCTGGAGCGCAAGGCTGCCGAGTTGGAGACTGCGCGACAGGAGAGTGCAAGGCTGGGACGCGAGAAAGAGGAGCTGGAGGAGCGCGCATCTGAGCTTTCACGCCAGGTGGATGTGAGCGTGGAGCTGCTGGCCTCGCTTAAGCAGGACCTGGTGCATAAGGAACAGGAGTTGAGCCGCAAGCAACAGTGAGTAGACCCAGGGGGTCCAGTGGATGGGTGTCTGTGGATGTTACTCACTTATGCCCGCACGTGCCTGGGGTGTCTCCATGTGGTAAAGCTTTGGAACGGAAGTTCTAAGATGAGTCCGTGATGGTGGTGCCAGAGAGTTCGAGTGTGTCATGGTGATGACTTGGGACCCTGGAGTACGTGTGTTTCTTCCCATTTGATAGCCAGGCCAAGCAGCTCTAGCATTTTGGTACCAGATCGTCCTTTTAGCCTAAGCAAAGAAATGGCCCAGTTCTCCGTGTGGTCTTGTACTTTGTAAAAGCATGCAGACGCAGTTGCATCTTTCCCAGGTACCATAAACTTACTTCATCTTAACCTTCTACCTCTTTGCTCATGGCTTCTTGAAGGCCTTTTTTGTGTTTCTGGTTCTCTCTTGAACCTACCCTCTGGGATCAGATTGCCACCTCCAGCACTGTCTTTGTGTCATCAGTAAACATGTTCATCACTGTCCTGGATCCATCTACACAGTATCTGATGTAGACTCTCACGGTGTAGCCTTTGAGCTCATGATCCTCCTGCCTCAGCCTCATAACCACTGCTCTTATTGCCATGCACCACATCGAGCTTTCCTTTACTTTTGCTCCTTCTCGGCTCTTTTCGACTACCTCTTTGTTTCTCTAGTCTGCAAATGGAGCATCACGAACTCTGTAGAGTCATTTGTTGTATTTGTCCTCGTTGTCAAGTAAGTTCTATGCAGTCAGGTATTTTTTTTTTCTTTTTCTTTTTGTTCAGTAATGTTTCCCCAGTATCTCGAACAGTACCTGCCTGGCACCTGGATTAAATCTTTAAGGAACGCATGAACGGTTGAATGTGTTTGGGGATACACACTCGCAAGTAACTGAGTGTGCTGTGTGTTTATGTACCTCTCGGATGCTGGGCGATACTCTAGGAGTGCTTAATGTTTCTCTGTTGATATGACTCAGTGTGTTCTGATATTTCTGAGAACGTGTGTGTGCGTATGCGTGCCTGTGTGTGTGTGTGTGTGTGTGTGTGTGTGTTTGATTGGGTTGGTAGGCTTGAGTCTCCATGGTTCTTAATGTATTTCGGAGTATGAATATGCCACGAGAATGAGCATGATTGCATACATAGGCACATGGGGGGCTGTGTATTGGGCTAAGTGAGGATATGTGTTTATAGCTGTGAGGCTCTCAGTGTGTGCCTGGGCATGTAACTGTGTGAGGAGGCTGTGTATTGAGACCACAGGGAACTGAGGATGTCTGCTTTTGCTTATGGGACTCTGCATGTGCCTGTAGGTGACTGTATAGGATGAGCGTACCCATGACTACGTCTTTGAAGACCAGGTGTATTTAATTAGTTTCCTTGTTGCTATGACACAGTTTAAAGGGCTGGAAATTTGTTCCCTGGGTTGAATGTAGTGGCAGGAGAGAACCAGCTCCTTCATATTGTCTTCCAGCCTGTGCACAGATTCGGTTAAATTTTTGTTTTAGACTTATTTTTACTATTTTTTTTTATGTGTATGAGCATTGTGCTTGAATGTATCGCCTCTGGTGCACACAGAGGTCGGAACAGGGTGTCAGATCCCCTGAAAATAGAGTCACAGGTGGTTGTGAGCCAGTATGTGGGTGCTGGGAACCCACAAATCCACCAAAGTCAGGTCTCCTGCAAGAGTAACAAGTGGCTGAATGATCTCTCCTGCCCATGTAATGAAATTACATTTTTAAAATGCAACTTGCAGGAAAACAGGGTTTCCTTTAACTCACAGTTTGGGAAGACAGTTAGTTGATCATGGCAGGAAGGATGTGGTCTCGGCAGTGTGAGGTCAAGGACTATCTATAGCTAGGAAACATGCTGGGCGTTGTTCATGGGGCCATGAGCACTCTAGGCCACTGCCAGGCTTTCCTCCAATGGAAGGTCTGAGGGCAGTCAGACCAGGGACCTGGGGTAAGAGACTGCTCCCGGCCCAGGGAGGTGGTGCAGATCGACCAGTTCCTGAAGGAGACAGCGGCTCGGGAGGCCAGTGCCAAGCTGCGGCTGCAACAGTTCATTGAGGAGCTCCTGGAGCGTGCAGACAGGGCTGAGCGACAGTTGCAGGTCATCAGTAGCAGTTGTGGCAGCACACCCAGTGCCAGCCTGGGCCGAGGAGGTGGGGGCAGTGCCTCAGGGCCTGGGGTGAGAGGCCCAGGCAGAATGGTGAGTGTGTACCTGCCCTGGCTTCTCACCTGCTCATGTGGTCCCAACAGTCTTCCACCATACCACCCCAACTTGCCTTCTTTGCCTGTTCCCCAGGAGCAACCCCAGGCCTGAAGTGGGAGGGAGGTCCACTCTCGGCAGGGCGGGAGTGCTGGCTCTGAGGCTGTGGCAAGGCTGCTTCAATAGCTTCAGCCTTTGGAAGCCTATCTGTGTATTTCCCTGCAATTGAGAGCCTAGGAGCCACAGCTGGGCCCTGGGAGGCTGGGTGGGTGCACTGGGAGGGATTTGGGAGCCTGCCTGTCTGGACTGTCTGTCTGTCCATTCGTCCATCTTTCCCAACTTTATTCTTCTCTCTCCTCTCCTTCCTTTTTTCTCTCCATCTTCGTCTTTCTCCTACTATTGCCTTCTTCTCTGGCCTCCTCTGCCCATGCTTCCTTTCCCTTCCACTCTGGGGGCTACAGCGAGAACACCATGCAGGCCCAGCTGTGCCAAGCACATACGCTGTTTCACGGCATGGCTCCTCTCCCAGCACAGGGTAAGCCTCGGGCTTGGCCCACCCCACACAGCCTCCCCCTCCCCCTGGAAGGTCTGCTGGCCCATCAGAGGCTCATCTCCTTCCGAGCCTACCCCTGTGGTATCACCAGTCTGCCTTTCAATGCTCAGGGAACTTTTGGAAAGCAAGACAGTGGGCTACCATTGGCTGGTGGTAAGGAAAACGCTGGGTGTTGGGGCAGTCTGGTATCCCTCAGCCTTCACTATGCACTCCCCCACCCACCCCAGGGCCTCCAGCCGTGTGCCAGCTGCATCCCAGAGCTCAGGCTGCTATGACAGTGACAGTCTGGAGCTGCCCCGGCCAGAGGAAGGGCCCTCGGAGGACAGTGGCCCTGGGGGCTTGGGGTCACGGGCCCAGGCTACCAACGGTGGTTCAGAGCGGTCCCAGCCCCCTCGTAGTTCAGGCCTGAGACGACAGGCCATCCAGAACTGGCAGCGCCGACCGCGCCGTCACAGCACCGAGGGGGAGGAGGGTGACGTCTCAGATGTGGGCTCCCGAACTACTGAGTCTGAGGCTGAGGGCCCCTCAGATGTCCCACGCCCTGGACCTGCTGTGGCTGGACCCTTGAACAGCTGCCGGCTCTCAGGTAAGTCCTGGGAAAGTGGATAGAAACCCAGCCTTCCAAGGTACTGGGTTCTCTTGGGACACGGGTGGATGTGGTGACCCTTGGCTCCTACACCTCCCTTACTCTTGTCTACCTATAAAACACTCTGCAAGCTTGGAGCAGGAGTTTGTGTGACAGGGCAGGCCTGCAGTGACCCAAGGATGCTCCATTAAGGCGGGGGGGGGGGCAGTCTGTGCACATGGTGGGTTCCATCTCAGGTAGGGCAGAAGACATGAGTGTTTACTTTAGGTTCTGAAATGCCTAGCACAGAGCAGGAGTTTGGGAGAATAGCCCTGTACTTACATGGAAGGCTTAGAGGGTTAGAGTCCAGGTGACCCTCAGAAGGAAAGTATAGGGCTGGGGAGGTCATTTAGTTGGTACAGTGCTGGTCTAGAACCCACGAAGCCTTGACTTTGATCTCTGGCCTCTCAAACTGGACATGGTGGTACACGTCTCTAATCCTAGTACTTGGGTAGCAGATGCAGGATAATCTGAAGTACCAGGTCATCATGGGCTGCATATTGAGTTCAAAGCTAGGCTAGAACACACGAGACCATGTCTGAAAAGGTTTTGGGTATGTGACAAAGCAACAGACACCCTTTTCCAATCAGTAAAATTGGGGCTACTGTAGAGAAGGGGAAAGCAGAGGACCTTGTCTTCCCTGGGAGCTGGTCCCCAATGTGGGTCTCATAGTCACTCCCCCTGCCAGCTCCTGCCCTGCCCCAGCTCCCCATCCACAGCCCTGTACTGGTCTTTACTCCCCACTGTCTCCTTTGGCCCTGGTGTCCTGCAGCCCGCCCTGAGGGAAGCAGTGGGCGAGGCCGTCGAATGGAGAGAGGTAGCCCCTCACGCTCCAATGAGGTCATCAGCCCAGAAATCCTCAAGATGCGTGCTGCGCTCTTCTGTATCTTTACCTACCTGGATACCCGTACACTGCTGCATGCTGCAGAGGTCTGTCGGGACTGGCGCTTCGTGGCCCGCCATCCTGCTGTCTGGACAAGAGTGCTGCTTGAAAACGCCCGAGTCTGTTCCAAGGTGCCTGACCCTGCCCTCCTGGGAGCCTAGCTTTTACCAGCAGTAAAAGTTTAGTCTTTGTGACCTTTGCTGACCTGGTTTCCCCAAATGCTCTCATGGTGCCTCCTCCCCAGGGCTACCACATCACCAGCCAGTCAAGTCTATCTCTGTTCATATTACTTGATCTTCCCCAGTTCCTGGCGATGTTGGCTCAATGGTGCACCCAGGCCCACTCATTAACGTTACAGAACCTGAAGCCCCGACAGCGGGGAAAGAAAGAAAGCAAGGAGGAATATGCCCGGAGCACCCGGTGAGACCTGCAGTGGGTGGGTGGGTGGGTGAGTGCCCCTGAGTTTA